GTGAGGCAATTTGAGTGAAGGCGGATCACTTCTCTGTGATCCTAAAGATCGCGTCTCCTTCAGAATGGTCAAATGGATGTTTCATCGGGCGAGACATGGGCTTGGCAGCAAGAATGCTCTTGTGCAGTTATGCCTTTTCCCATAGTTAAGCACCCCAGAACTGGAATATTTGGCTTCAAATGTACTGTATTTGCAATCGGTTGAGCTCGTTCTATTCCTTTTTACAACTGAGGGGTGAGAGGGAATAGTATCTTGGGTTGGCATGCCTGGTAATCACCAGCCGCTAATTTATTGCTGTTGAGGGAGTATTCCAAAAATAGGGATACAACCGAGGGGATCGTCTGTACTCAAATGAAACTAAATTAGAGAATGTATATTATTGTAGATTTTCCTGCATAAATTTCGTGCATGTCGTGAATGCATCGAGCACTGTATGTTTTGCTAATTTAGGTTTTGGTGTGTTTTTGTATTACTAAAATAGTACCCACCGAAAATATACCAAAATGTTAAAAAGAAGTTTATGCACAGACAAACTGGATTGCTATGTAGAGAATGCTGTTGTTGTGTCGTCGACCATCTGGTAAGTGGACAACCAATTATTGTTCACGTACTTGTTATCGTGTCGCCGACAGGGTACATATACTGTTTGCCTAACCCCCTCCCCCTCCTCCATCATTCGAGCGTCTGTTTGTTGCCTGTCCGACGTTGACAGATTCTGTAAACTTCGCTGAGGAATCATAAAGATTTGCTGTTGACCAGTGCCAATCACCGAGCGATCCCCTCACGCCGTGAGGGGTTCGCTTGGTGCACAAATCCTTCATTTATGAGTTGTGAAATTAGAGTCTGAACTTTTAAATGTATTCGATATTACAGTGTAGGCCACAGTGAAGCCGAGCCGTGTAGACTACACGGCTCGACTTCACTGTTCGAGAACGTCTTGTCGTTCGTTGGGGTTAATACTACTGTAGTACATGATATATGTACATGTACTACTAGTATACTTCACGGAGTCCGAACATGTTTGGAGAGTACAACAGTTGCATCGACCTTATAACGAGCACATAACACAAACAGGCGGCATACGCATAACACTTTCCATTGAATTTGTATCATACCGTAGCCGTCTACAAGCAGGCCCAATCCCTGACCATCGGAGCTACACAACCAATATCTTCACTCAACACTGGCAAAAGCTCGACGATGCTTAGTAGCGACGCTTACGGCCGTTGCACTTTGACGACGGGGCCGGAGTGACCTCCGGAGTCTCAGCGGAGGGGGTCTCAGCTGATGGAGTCTCACCCTGATTGGGGGAGTCACCCGACGCCGGAGCCGGGGTACTTGACTCACCACTTGAGGGGGTGTCAGAGTTACCACTAGAGGGGCTATCGGACTTGCCACTGGACGGGCTGTCAGAGTTGCCGCTAGACGGGGAGTCACCGCTCGATGGAGTCTCTGACTGACCCGTGGAAGAAGAGGGAGACTGCTGCGAAGTACCACCACCACCCGAGCCCTTTAGTGGAATGCAATCCTCTGTAATACCACAACGAAGCGATTCGTTAAAAGCTTGGGCACTCCCAGAATAATAGCAAGAACTTACTGTACGACTGCCACACGGTCTTGCCGTCCACACCCTGGAACGCCAACCAGTAGAAACGCATCTCCTTGCATCCGCCGTTGTCGCACGACGAGTAATCCACAGGGAACACCGACTTGATGT